AGGAGAATTGCTTGAACCCAGGAGGCGGAGGTTGCAGTGAGGAGGCAGGCGAATTACTTGAACCTGGGAGGTGGAGGTTTCAGTAAGCCGAGATCACACTACTGTACTCCAGCCTGGGTGACAAGGGTGAAACTCCATCTCAAAAAAAAAAAAAAAAAAAAAAAGACGTAAGTGATTAACTTCTTTTAATCTATAACTAAGGCCTGAGTCCTGAAGACCTTCCTCTGAGCCTCAGTAAATTTACTTAATCTAAGTGGTTCCAGGTGCTGGGGTGATTACCCTTATCTTGTCTCGTGCTAAATCAGAGGTTTGGCGTGTTTCTTCAGACCCCCAATAAAACTTGTTTAATCCTAAGTGGGTCCTGTTAAGAATTCCTTTGTGATTTTGTCATGCTTTAAGGCCGAGGAAAGGCCTAGGCAAACTCATGGTGGGCTTTTGTTACATTCCAACCTTTGTATAAGGGCACTGGCTTTTAATATGTACCTGAACCATTCGGTCAGCACTGAAACAAATGTTATGGCAGTGAGACCTGCCTGCCACAGGGGGACTAGAAGGGAGAGGAAGAGTGGATGTCATACAAGACCCCCTGCCTGGTGCTGGGGATGCAATGGGATGCTTCCTACACTCGCCAGAATTGTCTTTGGACCAAAGGGACGTGGGCATGTGGCAGGACGCACTCCCCAGCCCTGGGAGTAGGTGCGGCCATGTCTTCTCTATAAGCCAATGTGGGTCAGTGCATCCCCTTCCCCTGTCTGAGACAGTGTGTCTCATAGCCTAGGAACTGAAGTCACTATGATGAGCAGAGCATCCATGAGCAAGATAATGCGTTTATTTAGCTTTTGAGATTTCTCGTGGTCTATTTCCACAGCACAGGTTGACCTACCCTGAGGAGCACAGAAGGACAGGATCCAACTCTACTCGGCGCTCATTGGTGCATCGTAGTCCAGATGGAGACTCCATGCTGTAGATTAGGGTCTTGGCTGCCACTCAGGCATCCATGCTGGGGGTGATGCTCACAGTTTTCCAAAAACAAATGCAAAGATGCAGTGGGTTCAACTACTACCTCCAGGCTGAGACCCAAAACCACCACCCAGATGTAGATCGCCAGGTTTACTCTTGTATCTGGCTTTAGGTTCAGCTAAAAAAGAAAGCAATTAGTCTTTCTTGATTTCTTTCAAGTCAATGACAAAAAGAAAAAAAAAATCTAATAACTCTCTGGAACTGGAGAGGCAAAAACATAAGCTGCATTGTTTACCCCTTCCATGCACTACAACTAATGATAACAACAAAGAACTCGACTGACTTAGAAATTCTTTGTGATCCTTTAATACCGCAGAACAATAAGCCTGAGACAAGGATGGGGAGGCAGCAGGCACCCACGTGCACAAGAGCGTAGCTGAACGCCTATTGTGTACTCAAGAGCTCCGGTGTCTTCGCAATAGCAAAGACGATATGCAGACTCACTCGAAGCCAGCTTGATGGACGTTGCAGGAGGAGTGGGGGATGACAGGTCGCTATCTGGTCACCCAGGCTACACCTGCTGTTTCTTGCAAAGTGGAAATGTGATACTAATTGAAAGCAGAGGCACAACTTGAAATTTCTTTTTCGTTTGCAAGACCCTAGATTCAGGGTGGAGTTGATACCTGTCTGTAAATACCCATGAATCTGGGGTTCAAAGGTCACCTGTCTGAGAGTCTGGTGCTGCAGTGGAAGGAAATATGGAGTTGAGTGTGAAAATACTTGTTCTTAGAATTGTTCGGTAGACTTGGGGATGGTCAGTGGCGAGGAGAATAGCAAGATTTATGAATGAACAGAGGGCTGAGGAGAACTGAGTGTTGGAGAGAGAAGGAAAGTGGGGAACAGTGGCTCACGCCTGTAATCCCTGCACTTTGGGAAGCCAAGGCAGGTGAATCGCTTGAGGTCAGGAGTTTGAGACCACCCTGGCCAACATGGTAAAACTCCATCTCTACTAAAAATACAAAAATTAGCCAGGCTGGTGGCAGATGCCTGTAATCCCAGTTACTCTGGAGGCTGAGGAAGAGAATCACTTGAACCCAGGAGGCGGAGGTTGCAGTGAGCCGAGATTACGCCACTGCACTCCAACCTGAGTGCCAAAGTGAGACTCCATCTCAGAAAGAAAAAGAAAAAAAGAAGGAAACTCTTGGAGTTACAGAAATACCCAACAGGTAGATAGGGATGGGAGTGGTAACAGAAAATCCTTAAAAAACAAAAGGAGTTTATGAAGCAGGACATGTTGATGGTGGCTGCAGGGCATCAGGGATATGAAGACCCAAGGGGGCGATGGCTGGAGGCAGGTCAGCTAAAGTAGGTATGAGACAAGGGAGTGGACCCCTTGCGGGGTGAACTCCAGGCTGAGCACAGACTGCCGGAGAGGATGTCTTCTACCCAGACAAAAAGGACACCCATCAGGGGCTGGAGCCAGAGAGGAGCCCAAGCAGGTGATGTGAGATTACAGGACAGAACAGAGGAGCACCAGGAAAGGACTGTCCCAAACTCAGGCACAGCATCTCTAAAGAGGTGGTTACACCTCAGGGATGACAATGAAGGGTGTCTGCAGTGATGGTGGGGCGTGTGGCGGAGGGGACTGCTCAGGAGGTATCTATATGACACACACAGTAGGCACTAAATAAATGCCTGTGGAAATTGATGAATACATTGCAGTAGACACAGTCGTACCAGTTTTGCGCTAGGAGCTGTGGCGTAACGGCAGCTATTCAGGAGAGTTATGGCCGTGATGAAATCAGCTGGGCTGCCGAGCGGCTCGGGAGAGCCAGGGCTCTTAGGTTTGGGGCTTGGGAGTTGCCGCGAAGAGGAAGTGAACAAAACCAGTGGTGACCTCTGTGGCCATCTCTGAACATGAAAATGAGCAGCAGGAAAGGAGTGGGGAAGGGAGAAGCCTTTTAACAAAGACGTGCTTTAGGGTTGCACCAAGTGGTGGGCTGACTCCCCAGAAAACACCTCTTTATGCAAATGCAGAACAAAGGCAAATTCTGGTAAATATTGACCCCGTGCTCTCTGAAATTCAGGTCACTTCTCGCCACCGCTGTGCTGGTGATCTCAGACTAGCAAGGTAGACAGGTTAGTTTGTGTGACTTTGCAATGTCTTGCTAGTGTAGCTAATATTAATTGAGTATTTAACATGCACCAGACACTGTGTAAGTGCTCTACAGGAGTTAACGCTTCTAATCCCATGTGCCAGTAACAATCACCTCTTTTTTACAGGTGAGGCAACTGAGGCACAGAGAGGCCATGAGCTAACCCATGTAGACCCAGGAACAGTGCAGGCAGGTGGTACCAAGGTTTGTTCTCTTAGTCCCTTCTCTGTCACTGCCTCTTCAAGTGCATGCATGTGGGCAGGTGGCTCTGATTCCACAGAGGAAAAGGCCACTGGACCCTTTGGTCTTTGATGCTGCATTTGCCTCCTTACCTGGCCATGGAAGGCATGAGAATATGGGCTGTGGAATCACATTTGCTGGGGTTTGGATCCCAGCTCTGCTTTTTAGGATTTGTGCAACCTCAGTTATCTCATCTGTACAATTTGTGTTGTGAGGATTAGAGGAAGTGCATACACAGAGTGCTTTGTATGTCATGTGATGTGTAGTGGGTCTTGTTTGAGAAGGCTTCACTCAGTCAACACTTGTCGTTCTTGCCCTAAAAAATGTCCTCTGCTGGAATTAACCAGTTCCTGAAGTGTGAGCATCTGCCTCCTCTTACCTTGGTTTTGGATCCTGAGAGCCTCCTTAGAGCCGATTCTTGGTTATGCCTGTTATCAGTGGCTGGGATAGATTTCTCCTTGTTCATCTAAGAACTGACCTTGAATGGCTACCATGGTCCTGACTCTTGAGTCACTGGCTGAATCAATTTGGTGTCTGCCTTCCAGACAGTGGAGGGGCCCTGAGCGATGGCTGGAAGAGAAAGGAGCTCCATGCAGCAGGGCGAGTCCAAGCAGCTTTGGTTGTGCTGGAGCATCAATTACAAAGTACAGAGGCTAGAAAGGGTGACAGTTTCAAGGAAGCCCTTGTGGAGCATCATAAGGAGCCAGCTTGATCCTGCACAAATGGAAACCTTTGAGGGCGTCACAAAGGAAGGCAACCTGGGTATATCAGGGAGCTCACTGCAGTCCTGGTGTGGAGAATGGGCTGGAGGCAAGCAGGACTAGAAGCCAGGATGCCTGTTAGGAAGCTGCTACTATATTGCCTTAGCATCAGCCGTAGGAGGGGCCCTATGGGATCTGGCCTCATTCGACCTCTTGGGCTCACCTCCTGCCTCCCTGCCTCCTGCTCTCTCTGCTCCTGCCTCACTTTCCCCTTGTCATTCCTCAAATTCAACAAGGATGCTCCTGCTGCAGACAGTTGCCCTTGCTGCTGCTCTACCAGACACACTTCTCTCAGGTGTACACGTGACCTTCAGGTCTCTGCTCAAATACTGTCTTACTGGGAAGGGTATCTTAAGCACTCTGCAAGAAATAACTCCTTGGCTCCCTCATTTTCTAGCCTCTGATCCTGCTCTATTATTTTCTTTAGTTTCTGTTTTTATTTTTAGAGACAGAGTCTCACTCTGTTGCCCAGGCTGGAGTGTAGTGGTGCAGTCCCAGCCCACCTGCAGCCTTGAGCTCTTGGGCTCAAGGGATCTTCCTCCCTCAGCCTCCGGAGTAGCTAAGACTATAGGCATGAGGCACTATACCTGTCTTCAATTTCTCTGTTATTTTCTTCCTTAGCACTTATCATTGTATGATACTATGTTTATCCACTCGTTTATTATTGGTCCCACTGCACTATAATGTAAGCAACTCCAAGTAGGGCCAGTGGCTATTTTGTTCACTGCTGTCTTCCTAGAAGTAGACCCTCAGTTAGTATTGAATGAGTGAATGAATCCTTAATACGGGAGTGGCTCAACTTAATCTGCAATGAGCAGGGAGGCATTTCGGGGCAGGATTCAGTATGCCTATCTACACTCACTGGCACACATTTGAGTTTTAGTTCTAAGCACTAAATGCAAGTCTCCTTCATGGGTGTGGGGGACTGGTTCATTAGAAATAAGTCCCCCAGAGTCTTGTGCAGGTAGTTTGTAGAGACAGGCTTGCACAGATAGTTGTGGAGCAATCGGACTCCTGTGCAGACAGACCAAGGACTCTTTGTCAGCTTGTGCGTGGTTCCCGCCTGTGATGACATTGTTCTTGAGTGGTAAGTAATTGGAGCCTCAGGGCTACCTCTCATTTTGCGGATAAGCACGGCTGTAACGCTTTTGGTAAAGTGCCCATGATAAGAAACAGAACATTGCAATATGCTAGCACAAACCAAAAAGTCAATAACCGCTTGACATTCTGAGAAGCAGATGTTCACTGGTAGATCCAGCACCTTGGAAGGTCTTTTCCCAGTGGGCACTAAAGTAGTTCAGCAAAGTTTGCCTTTTATGGAAGGTATGCTTAAAATGAATAAAAAGCCCTGGGCAGGCTGGAAATTTTTGTCCAGTTTTGGAGGCAATGTGATCAGGTTTGCATGAATTTCATCTTAGGAAAGGTGAATGCAAACAGCATTAATACAATAGCATAAGAAGGTGACATGGGAAGTTATGACATCACAGGTTTCCTTTCTCATCTGGATACTAGATGATTCAAAGGAACTTATTCCTTGGAAAACCTGTAAATTGGAGGACTTCCTTGAAAAGTGGTCTTACACCAGGAACCATACAAAGTATAATTTCCATGAAACTGCAGGAAATTAAAGCAGCCCTCAGAAATTCTGAAGATGCCATGTTCAGGGTCAGTCTGGGTGAGTTACAAGTATCTGGAGAACTATTACCCGTGTGGATAAATTTGGGGAATTTCTTGTTGCTAGTAAGACTTTTCCCCCAACTGGAATTTCAAGTGGTTAATGGTAGAGACTTCGAGTGCATTGTATATGGATCCTAAGGGAGCAGGGCAGCAAACAGAATTCTTGAGAGTTTTCTGTTACCAACAGTATGATAGGTACCTTCAATACTTTAAAATTTTAACTTTCTTAACAACCCTACACAATAGATACTATTATCTATTTTACAGATGAGAAAATTGTGCCTCAGAGAGGTTAAAAAAAGATTCCCAAGACCACACAGCTGAAAAGTGGCAAGACTGGTTTTCCCACCCGCCACCATATGCAATATGACTTCTGAGCACCCACAAGCACATCTATTATCCAATTATTACTGAACTCTTAGACTTCTGTATGAGTGTGATCTATATATATGTGGTTTGAGGAGGTAGTTTAAGGAGAATTTTGGGGGGTGGGTGTGATAATACTGATTAGATGCTCGAGCTCTAACATTTCTCTCCTTGGAGAAGAAAATAAAAGTCGTTTCTAAGATTGAAGGAAAGGTTAAGTCAAGTTAGCACTGCGCAGTTTTCCTCTTACATATTCTATGTTCCTTAGTGATCACTGACAACTGTAACCCAGAGGTACTGATGACTTTGGACTCTGACAGCCAATGGTATGAGGCCAGACTTTGTGTTTCCTCTATGCAATCAAGAATAGAAGCTTCTCCTCCTAAGGTCATATGCCCTAATGTTAATAGTCTTCAGCAATACAAACTGAGTGACTATCTCAGTTTACTATAAAACAAAACAAAAACACAGGTGGGAGCTACTGGCTTCTGGTAATAGTACAGCAATTTGGTCACAGTAAGTCTCCCACAGATGACGATTGTAAACTCTGAGCAAAACACAAAAGAGCACAGAGGAACAGCCAAAAGTAGGCAGAAACTAGAGGTGAGTGCCCTTGTGAGACTGCATGAATGATATTTGTGAGTTTGAAGTGTTTTGCCTGGAACTCCCAAATCTGTGCATAAATTGAGGTGGTAGAAAGCTACAGCTGTACTGGCTTGAGGTGTCAGAGGATGGCATTCAGGGATGGAAGAAAGCCAGAAAGTTAAGGAGGAAATACTTGAAGGAAGTGTGCCTCAAAGGAGGAGAGCCCCAAAATACATATGAGATTCACCCAAATTCTTGGCACATCAAAGATATGTATATTGAGAAGAGACTCTACAATTTTTTGGGTGAATTTGATAATGATATTGATCTAATGATAATGATAATGACCCAGGAAAAATGAGCAGCAACTGGAAGTGGGAGAAGCTGGTGGAGATTTTAGTTGCTACTGGTCAAGGGGTAGATGATTTTTTGGGACTGAGATAGTCAATTGACTTGCATGATTGAATCAATTGATGGAGAAACAAAACAGACTTCAGAGTCTTTATAATCTATTTTAAAAAAATATTTAGTGTCCAATCAGAAATCACTAGACACATAAAGAAATAGGAAAGTGTTGCTTCTACCAAGAAAAATATAACCATCACTAGAAATCAACCCCAGGATGATCCAGACATTGCAATTAGTGGATAAGGAATTTAAAGCAGCTGTTATAAATATGCTCAAAGACTTAAAATATATACCTATGGAAAATATATACAAAATGAGAAACACAGCAAAGAAATAGAAATTATTATAGAGAGCCAAATGGAAATTCTAGAGTAATGCTGTTCACAGAACTTTTGCAGCAATGGAAATGTTCTATATCAGGACTGCCTAACATAATAGTCACTAGCCACATGTGGCTCTTGAGCACCAGAAATGTAGCTGCTGTGAATGAACCACAAATTAGTTTGAATTTCAAAAGGCACACAGTGATTATACTATTGGGCAGTGCAGCTCTACACTTAAAATGTATATAACTGAGGCCGGGCACGGTGGCTCACGCCTGTAATCCCAGCACTTTGGGAGGCCGAGGCGGGTGGATCATGAGGTCAAGAGATCAAGACCATCCTGGTCAACATGGTGAAACCCGTCTCTACTAAAAATACAAAAAATCAGCTGGGCATGGTGGCACGTGCCTGTAATCCCAAGCTACTCAGGAGGCTGAGGCAGGAGAATTGCCTGAACCCAGGAGGCGGAGGTTGCGGTGAGCGGAGATCGCGCCATTGCACTCCAGCCTGGGTAACAAGAGCGAAACTCTGTCTCAAAAAAAAAAAAAATGTATATAACTGAAATAAAAGAATTCCTTGAATCATTCAGTAGTAGTTTGAAAACTGAAGACAAAAGATTCAGTGACCTTGAAAATAGATCAATATAAAGTATCCAGTGGAAAAAATACAGAGAAAGAAAGTAATAGAAATGAACAGAGCATCATAAATATGTGGAAAATAGTAAGCTAAAATATGTGTAATTAAAGTACTAGAAGGAGAGGGGACAGAAAGGCAGAAAAATATTTGTAGAAAGTGACTGAAAATCCCCAAAATCCAGTGATGAATTTATACTTCCAAAAAGCTCAATGAATTCCAAGTAGAATAAACACAAAGTGGACCACACCTAAGCCCCTCATAATCAAATAACTAAAATCCAAAGACAAAGGAACAACTCTTAAAAATAGAGAAAAACACCACCACATTCTATTACAAGTTACTAATAATGCCTGACATCTCATCAGAGACAAAGGAGGATAAACACAGGGGAGTAATAACTTTAAAGGTTCTGAAAGGAAAAGAACCTACTATGCTGAAAGGAAAAGAACCTACTATCCAGAATTCTATACCCAGCTAAATTATCCCTCAAAAAATAAAGACAAAATAATTAATCTGCTCAGGCAACCATAACAAAATATTATAGACTGGGCAACTTAAACAATGGAAATTTATTTTCTCACAATTCTGGAAGGTAGAAGTCTGAGATGAGGGTGCTAGCATAGTGGGGTTCTGGTGAGGACTCTTCTTTTGGGTTGTAAGTAGCCATCTTCTCATTTTGTCCTCACATGGCCTTATCTAGGTTTGTACTCATGGAGAGAAGGCATGAACTCTCTTCTTCTTTTAAAGGAACCAATCGTATCAGGTTAGGACGCTACTCTTATTACCTCATTTAACCTCCTATATCTCAGCCCTATCTCAAAATACAATCACATCGGGAGTTAAAGTTTCAACATAAGAAGTTTGAGGAAACACAATTCAGTTCATAGCAGAATATTTTTTTTTTTTTTTTTTTTTTTTTTTTTTTTTAGTTGTAGCCTCACTCTGTTGCTCAGGCTGAAGTGCAGAGGCATAATCTTGGCTCACTGGAATCTCCGCCCCCAAGATTCAAGTGATCCTCCTGCCTCAGCCTCCTGAGTAGCGGGGACTACAGGCATTCATCACCATGCCTGGCTAATTTTTGTATTTTTAGTAGACAGTGGTTGTATCATGTTGGCCAGGCTGGTAAACTCCTGACCTCAGCTGATCTGCCTGCCTCAGCCTTCCAAAGTGCTAGGATTACAGCCATGAGCCACTGCTCCTAGCCTCATAGCAGGAATAAATTTATCAAAAGATCTGCAAGATTTGTATACATAAAACTTCAAAATACTTAGGATCTTAGAGGTGGTAAATCATTTTCAAAATTTTAAAAAAACTGCAAAATACTATTGAGAGAAATGACAGGTTCTGTAATAATTTCCATAATGTATTTTTGTATTTCTATAATTATGTAATAAATGGAGAGATATACCATGTTCAAGAATTAGATAACTCAATATTATTAAGATGTAAATTCTCTCCTAATTATATTTCAATTCAATCCCAATAAAAACTCCTTCAAAATTTTATAAAATAGAAATTAGAATATAAGATAAAACACATTTCTAAAATTCATAAGGAAAAACAGAAGACCTAGAATAACCAACCAGTCTTGAAAAAGAAGATCAAAGCTAGACAACTTATACTTCCTAAACTTAAGAAGTCACTATAAAGTAATCAAAACAGTATAAGAGTAGACAAACTGATCAATAAAAGAGAATAATGAGGCCAGAAAGAGATTTACATGATCAATTGATTTTTGACAATGGCACTAAAACATTTACATGAATAAAGAGAAATCTTTTTAACAAACTCTGTTAGAACAACTTTGTGTCTACATGGGAGAATAAAAGAGAACGTCTATCTTTATCTTATACAACATACAAAAATTAATATGAGATGAGTGATAGACCCAAACATAAAAACTAACATTTAAAAACTTTTAGGAAAAAAAAAGGGAATATCTTTGTAATCTAGAGTAAGAAAAGCTTTTTTTTTTTTTTTTCCAGGACACAGAAAATAACTGTAAGAGAAAAAAAGATAGATTCTTAAAATTAAAAACTTCTAGTCAAAAGAGACACTTAAGAAAATAAAATTGTAAGCCACAAACTGGGAG